TTATATCCAGTACTTGCACATTGTATAGTTAAATCTGATCTTAACTTTTATCACACTGGTTTTGTTTGAAACTACTTGTTCCTAACAAATATGGTAATTTTAATTTTAATTTTCTGCCAAAATTCCATAAAGAATACTATATTTTAATCAGTTCTAAATTAACCTTATGATAGTACTCACCCTTCTGGAGACAAAAGTGTCGACATAGCCTGGTTCGTTGGATGTCAATGTCATCAAATCGGCATTTAAAGTACGAATACGCTGTAATCGAACTCTGATAAACCGAGCAGAAGTGAATTCCTGAAATTGGAACAAAATCAGAATAAAAAAATTCAGATACATCACATATTTACAAACACTTAATAATATGAGGTTATTACGAGGATACCTAAAAGTCTGCACGAAGACAGTACAGTGGGAGTATCAACCAACGCACAGCAGATGTCGATGAAACAGCGTACTGTCCGAGTGCATACTTTGCAATATCCTTGTAATAACCTTATTATTATACATCTTTTTCTAGGATACATTATGGGAATGTCGAAATCCAAAATGTTTATAACAGAATCAGCGAACTTCTTTGTGTGGAGTCCGGTCAAACCCTGGTGGCAGCCATGTCTGTTTTTATTATTAGAGGACGCTTATGCATGTAATTATTCCATATTTGGAATTCACATTTCCTAATATGATAGGATGAAAATACCCGTAAAATACTGCAAAATTACGGCACACTGTAATTTATAGCCTTACGGTAACAGATGTATAATACTAAGCACATACTTGGTTTAGAGGGGTGTTCAGTTTTTAAAATTCATTTATACAAAGCTGGTCTTTAGAAGGATTTCTATTATCAGTATACACAAAGTTTGTTTCAGAAAGGTTTCACTGTATTTGTTATATTATAAATCCCCACTATCAGAGTTAGAGGTTTTTATGACATCATAGCTTTACATTATCATACAATTGGTGATTTTCCGTACAATTGCGAGATCTCGCGAGATGCATGAAAGATGCGCGTTGACTGTCTGCCGCAAAAAACGATTCGATTTAGAACTTGAATTTCTTAACTCAACCGGCCAATCTTCGACAGAGGAATATTGCTTCCAAATGCATTTACTTAATCGAAATTGTCTATTATCAAATGTGTACAGCACATTATTAAGGGACGGCGTCAACAGATCGATGTCGGATAAAAAACTAAATTCTTTTAGTTTTTTCCCAAAACCCCCCACCCCCAATGAAACTTAATTGATAAATATTGATGTGGAATATACACATGCACAAACTACTTTTAGGGGTTCTGCACATGCTCTAGGTCCATGACCAGAAATTGACCTCATTTGATGCACATATTTACATTCTGACCAAACCATTTTCTCGTCTTTGATGTTTGTTTTTTTCATTTTCTGTTATTTTTGTCTATGATTGGATAGAAAAAAACAAACTACAAATACTCCAAGGTTTTTTTGACTTCATTGAAAAATAAAATCGTTTTTGTAGGATGGAAACTTTTTGAAGTCAAAATCCCCCCACCCCCAAACTAAAGCAAGTTTTTTATTCGACATTGATCTTTTGACGTCGTCCCTAAGCATGAAAATGCCCCCAAAATACTTTTGCGTTTGTCGAATCCCACACGATGTTTGGCGCCACTACGACGCTATGACCTTTGTTTGTCCTGTTTTTACGTTCGATTTTACGCATAACGCGTGATTCTCGCAGTGAACGGAAAATGATCAATTGTAAACTGCTATACACAAATTAATTACAACAATTCTGACGGTTTTGAGTTAACACATTGTCATTGGATTCAAAGAAGTAAATACTGAAGTGAAGTAATTGATAAAATGAAATAAAGCTTCGTATACATACCAGTAAAGTAGAACTTGGGTTCAAAACACTAGGACGTCCATTCACCAATGAGGTATGAATTTCACCATTCTCCAATGGATTCAGTTTGGAGTAGAACGAAGTACATATGACCTCATCATCTGCACTATAATGAGGATTTCCGATAGTTGGTTGAATGTTGTACAATGACAGACACTCAGAATCAGACATTGCATAGTACTGCCAGGGTTGAAAGTTAATTCCATCAATGGACTTCTCCAAAACCCAGTTGCCAGGTCGGGGAGAGTTGGCTGCCTTGAGAATCACGTAGGCCACTTGGAATATCTAAATGCAATGAAAACACAGGAGTGTTTACACATGGTTTCAGAACAAAGCTTAGAAGTCATTTCAATGAATGCTACGACAACCTCAGCTAGAGAGAAACCATCTTGGTTTATAAAAGATATGATAATGAGGCAAGTTCAAAAGATTATTTTATAGCGCCCTCTATAGTAACATCTACAAAGTTCTTTTTTTTATATGTCCAATTTTCAAAACTGAGATGCACAAAACCAGATATCCAGAGATGAATACTGTAAAATTCTTGGAATTAATTTTCGCTAAAGGAGTGATTCAGTTAAAATAAAATCCAGCGAATATTTTTTTTCTTTATTTTACATTCAAACTGACCAAAAATCAGCGAAAATAAATTCCATACAAAATACCCAAAAATTAATTCCAGTGAAAACAAATTACTAAATAATACACACACTAATTATAACGTATTTGCTCTATAGTAGTGCATAAGCAAATAACAAAATGAGAAACTGCAGGGGAATGCACTTTATAATAGCTGAGCAAATTCAGTAATATTATAATTTATGCTACATACTGTAATAGACAGGCTAGCCTATGTAAGCAGCTGCAATTCATGCTTGGAGTAGCATTTAAAAGAATGCACTGTTTGTTATTGATATGATTGGTGTTGATATCATAGTATGTATAGCCACAAGGCAGAGGATACCAAACACTGTATAGATACAATCAGTGTCATAGCATTACAACTATACCCAAGCCATATGTACAACATTCTCACAGCGGGACTGTCAGTGGGATGCATAGCTATTATTTCCACGATCACAGTTTCACCAGTTTGTGCAATGCCCATTAAATCAATAGACTTTAATCCAATAAGATGTATATGAATATTAACAGTCTAATCTAAGTAAGGGGAAGGGATTACATTAACCACATATTCTGCTTCCCAGAAACCTAATATTAAAGAGGGACCCCAATTTTAGAACAAAAAGTAGTCAAACTTGTTTTGAAGATACACACGATACATTGTCAATTCCACTTCATTTTCTCATTGGGACTCGATCCTTCAAAGAAAGGGAAAGGATAGAACTTTGGACTACACAGATAGAATATTGCTATTACAGTTTTCAAGAGTAAATTTTGTATTTTAGAAGAGCTTGGTTATTGAGTTTTTTCTTAATTGTTTTGAAAGCAATAGCAATGAATTATTATTTCTTCAAAAAACCTTTTAAAACATTTTCACAAATTATCAGCATTATACCACTGTAAATTGACAATAATCAACAGAAATACTGTAAATGCATTAATTTATTCGCCAAATTTATTTGCTATTTTCATGGAAGAGTGAAAACCACTAAATTAAATACCAGTGAAAATAAATAAATTTACAGAAGCAAAAGAACATACAAATTTGTGAAATCATTATTTAAAACGGTTTGAGCTGAATTCATGATGACTGTAAAATCAAAAGTCACAGTTCTTATTAAAATGATACAATGCAACAGAGAGGATGTGGCTTCTATTAC